GTGTAAAAAGTGCGTAGTTAAAATGATTCTAATTTTTATCTCGCCCGTCTGAATTTATTAAAAAAAAAGATAATTGTAATATATGTATTTTAATGCCCACGCGTTCGTTTTAAAGTTCGGAAGTTGCCTATTCTCATTTCTGAACAGCTTTAATAGAAAGCTTGCATTTACTGCTTTGCATTTTGATATCGCTGTCAGCTGATTTTTGATATTCCGATCAGGTCTTCAATACTACAGTTACGTGCGCGGCTTTATCAGACTTTGATTCGTTTCCGAAATTGGTTCACTCTCAGCACGAACTGTAGCGTGGAAAACTATAGACATTCCGTTTTCAGTTTCGTTTTCGTTCACTGACGCGGCTCATTTGCATTAAATTAAATCTACTTCCATTGGTTTATTAGATAATTGCATTAATGTGTTGGGTGTGGTCGTGGGCAAGCTGTAATGGGAGCTATTTGATAACTACTTAATGAGGAGTCATTTTATAATGGGGTTACTGGACGCTACGCTCTGTTTCTAAGGTATGTGTTTTCACTTTCGTTAGCAGTAAGCCTGGGGTAATTAACAAAATATAATATTACAATTATATTTATTGGATAATTATTTAACAAAATGTATTTTAATTAGTTCTTGAACAACTGTGATGTAAATATTTAATTTTATAAGTTTTGCTACATCGTTCTTAAGCTGTTCTTTAATAGAAAGCACGATTTATTTAAATATCATTGTTTTGCAAAAATATCATTGTTAAAGCCAATGAGATTTTTATTATAATTATCAATATGAACTTTTAATTATCTTTTTAAAATCGTTTAACCAATAAAAAATATATATTTATGTTACATATTTAAATTAAATGTATAAAAGAATAATATTTTTATTGATACATTTTATATTTTAACTTTTTAAACCCGTTCCACTGTGCTTTTCTCACCCTCGAACAGCTGACAGGAAAGCTTTCACTTCACTTTGTTTACAAACAACCGGCTAAAAGCTGCTGCTCTCTCTCTCCCATACTCCCAATCTGCTTTTCCATTTTCCGCTCACTGCTCTCGTGAGTCATTTTTGCGCCGGGCTTTCCATTCAACTCAAATCTCAGCATCTGACTCTAAGCGACTTCAATCCGGTTGCTGGTCCAGTTTTAGTCCGGCGAAGATTTCGGCTTAACGTTTTTATGCTGCGTCCTTCAAGGATTTTCTATTTGTTTTTTTCGGACCATTTCGTGGTCCAGTAGACTTTAAAGCCGCAGCCGCTTAAAGTTGCGCGCCCTTTTGGCTTATGTTTTGTTTGCTTCTTTGTTGGCATTGCTCAGCCGCACTGTGTGCCACGTGTGTGCCAGAGGGAGACGGGAGATTTTGCGATGTTAGTTTTATTTTTATGCTGCTCCTGACTCGCTTGACTGCACATCCTGTTCATCCTGTTTTCCCATTTTGGCTTTCGTGGCCATGTTCTTTTTTCGCTACGAATTATTCAGCTAGGCATTTTTATTTTAAAGATGCACAGAAAAAAATATTATCTTTAATAGCTATTTATATTTTCTCAAAATCTTTGGGTTACAAATATTTTTTTTAAGAATATTTACTTCTCTTAAATTATTAAACAAATCAATTAATATAGAAAAATTCTTTAGGCACCACATATTTTTCCCAGTACTCTGCCAAGCATTTTTCAGCTATGCTCTCCGAAATAAAACGAGGAAAAAATATATAAATAAATGGGCAAAAAATTGTGCGCCAGTATGTCGCCTGGAGAAAAAATAAGCGAATGCAATCTGTAGACCCAGATCTATGACGGGAACTTGGCCCCAACTTTCTCCTCCCGGCTGGCCAACTCTTACATAACTCAAACCAGCTCCCCGTTTGTCCCAGTCCCAGCCAGGTGGGGCCCACATCCACACATGTGACTCAATGATTTATGCATGCTACTTAATGCCTTCTTAATTACATTTTATGTTACAACCGAAAAATAATAATATCTTGCTGAAAAACAGCAGACAAGATGGGAGATGGGAGGCGCCGAACACAAATCACATTCCTTCGGGGGGCGGAATGGGTGGAATGGGCGGAAGGACACGTCCCAGCTGCCAACACAATGCGGAAAACGCTTTCACTTTTACCCTCGGTGCAGCTGCTGTTCCTCTTTTCCCCATTTTCGCTGCCTTTCCCATACCCTCGCCATATGCGACTGAAACAAAAATCTATTTGGCAATGGCCTTGGGCTTAGGGGCTATAAAGGGGGGATTTTTGGGAGGGCTAAGAGGGTTTTTTTTCTGGGGACAGACGTTCTTGTGTATTCAGTCAACACAAATTTGCGTGGCCTTTTTTGGGGTGCTGGGATATTTTTTTCCTCCCATCTGCAGTTCATTGAAATGTGTGCGACAAGCGAAATACAATTACACCATGGATTCATGTTCATTGTCTGGATGCGTGACGTCAGCTGGGGGATCGGGCATATATATCCTATCTTGGGCTGCATTCCAATGCGAACCAATACCCGCTCTGTGTTGACAGTGATAGTTGGATTGCAATGCGAGCCCAAGGTGAAAGTTCAGTTACGTGATGTTTGCGTTGCTTTCGGGTAAACATATTTCAGTGGCTTTTTGTTTCGCAACGAAAGTGGCCCTATCAGAATGGGATTTAAATAAGGATTTACTTTAAAATTTAATCGAAAGTGGATGATATGAACAAACCAATATTTTTGTTAAAAGTTCTTGATTTTTTGAAAGAAAATTAAGAACATTTTCAGTAGTTATAATAAGAATGATATTTTACAAATGGAATTGCAACTGAAAGGAGCGATGTTCATAATCTTTATTCAAACAAGAGAGAACGCTATAGTCGAGTGCCTCGACTATTAGATACCCGTTACTCAGCTAAACAACTTAATAGAAATATGCCTTCTTATATGTTTTTCGCCGCTCGATTTTTACCCAGGGATCTCTTTCTAGAACTTTCAATTCTGCCTAGCACATCTTCCGTCTCTCTCTCTAGCGCAGGTGAATGCACTTGTGAAAAACGTATACGAGCAAAAAGAGACAAAATGCGCGCCCCATTTTAAATAATTTAAAATTTGCATTAACATAATGTGAATTAGAGTGACTACAGAAAAAAAGGCACATTTTTTCCAATGCCATTTCCTAGATGGCGCTAGTGTATATTGTATTGCGCCATCTACCGCCAGATATTGGTACTACTGGTCATGAAAGGCGGAAATGTATTCGCTGGCCAGGTTTAAGCGTTTATTGGGTTTCTGGGCGTTAGAGTGGGCGTGGCAATTTTTTACTTGGCCAATCGATAGGTATTGACGAAGCGAATACATTTCGGTTACTATTTTTATAATAGCTTCAAAAATGTGGGCGTTAGAGGGGGCTTGTAGGCGATAGAGGGGGCGTGGCACCTTTTTGAAACAAACTTGCGCTGCGTTGGAGCTCCTAGAATATTCATGCAAAATGCCAATCTTCTAGCTCTTATAGTTTCCGAGATCTCAGCGTTCATACGGACAGACAGACAGACAGACGGACAGACAGACGGACAGACGGACATGGCTAGATCGACTCGGCTAGTGATCTTGATCAAGAATATATATACTTTATGGGGTCGGAAACGCTTCCTTCTAGCTGTTACATACTTTTGCACGAATACAATATACCCTTTTACTCTACGAGTAACGGGTATAAAAAAGAGCCGCAGCTAAAAATGAATTGATCAAAGTTATACCGATAATCTTTCTGAAATAAATATTTATAAACTACAATATAATGGAAATAAAAATATTTATTTTTTAACTTTGTAATAGTTTACTTTTAAAGGATGTTATTTTACTTTTTATATTAAGTATACAAAATTTCTGGCGTTATATTTTCCACTTAAGCGCTTTTATGCACCATCTACTCCAACTGTATTTACATAAATAGTAATCGGAATACATTGCGCTTCCTTTATTCGGCGACTCCTTTCATCCCCGTGATCCCTGTGAGCCAACGAGATTTTAAGCTGGGTTAGTGCCACGTTTACCCGAGCTGCAAATGACAAAGCCATGGTTCGTGGACCGTGGTCGGTTTAAGCCCGGTCAGAACTGTCAAGTGGTTGCCATTGAACCAGAACAAGAAGCGAAATCCCTTTAGAATGAGGACACTTTCGCCGACAGCTCGTGTTAAACAAATTAAACACGTAGCCGGGACAGGAGGAGCCCACAGGCGAAAATCCTTTTTGTCGAATGCCAAACTGGGTACCCCGCTGCGGTCGTGGCCATTGTAACAGAGCCAGAGCTCTTGGCCAGAATCGTGTTGTTAACTCGGCCACGTTTTCGTGTCGACCCCCTCTCCCGTTTCCCACCCCACTTCTCTGATTTCGCCTGAAAGTCAAATTAGCGTTTCCCTTCGCCACTCGAGGGGCGCGTGAAAAATGCAAATTTCTGTTCTGTTTCGCTGTTCATAATTTGTACTGGCCATGACCAGAAGAAGGGAAGGTCAAGCCCGGAACAATAATTACACAATTTATAATTCACAAAACAATTGTTTTTGACAAGTGAAATATTTTTGTTCGAGCACAGTTGGCTCTCCGGCAAAAAGTTTGCCACTAAATGGGCCGCCCAAGTTTTTAATTGAAATGCCTAAAGTGGGTCCCATAGTTTTCCTACCAGTTGAAAATGAAATGTCGCCATCGGCGGGAAACTGTTCTTGAATAGGGTAACTGGGGACGGTGAGCCTTCAACCCTTCACGATACTCAGCCTGTTAGGAAAAGAACCGGCTCTAGAATTTTCCATGTTGCCATGAGATTTAAAGCCACGTTGCCTGGGCAACTAAATAAACAGTCTTGAAGACTAGTACACTGGGAAAATCAAAAAATATTCATATTGAACCTACCTTTGTCCCACTACCTTCTTGCTGATTAACTCCCATTTTCTTTGAGTGAGTAGGCCAAGAAAATCATAAATAAATCAACATGGAAGCCTGAGAAATGGTTGTCAAGCTTATGTAACAAACGAAGTTAACGATTTTCCTCATTCGGTCGCAACCAACTGAGCAGTGATCAACCTCAGCTAAAGCTAAAGTTTAAAAGTATTTTATAAAGTGTTTTATAAAGTTTTAAAAAAGTGATATATCTTGTAATAAATAATTCAGTGCCTTGAACCCGCCCTGCAAAAATGTCGATCTTCGATCATCCCGAGCAGCTGAAGATGCTGCAGGACCTGCTGAATCCCACTCAACGGAGAGGCGGTATCGATTACAGCAGTAGCGATGACGAGGACGAGTCCATGGTGGTCCACAAGATGAGTGAGTATAATACAAGATCTTATTTTCTGTAAAGTTCAAGAAACCCTTTACTCGTAAAAATTATATAACCATGAGAAAACTCAATTGGTCCAACTTTTCGCTTTTCATATGTAAAGATATACTTATGTTCTATTTTCTCACCCAGATCCTGGTGGAATTGGCCGTACCAAGGCAGCCGATTCCTCTGGCAAGACTAAGAGTAAGAAAAAGGCCAATCCCCTGGCGACTCCCCTGGTGGAGGAGGAGAAGAAGCAGCCAGTGAGTCTGGAACAATGGCAGGAGCAGCAGGAGCGAGAGGATAATGATATACTCGAGACCCGAAAGAGTCCAGAGTACACAATGACCTATCGTCAGGCTGTGGGCACCGAAGATGTGTTCCTTCAGGTGGATTGAGCTACGCTTAAAAAATACCTATTCAGATTAGTAATTCCATGTCCTTACTAGATGGGCAATCGCACTGGAGCTTCGGCCAGCTGTGAAGATCTGATTTTGGAAATTTCACTGCCAGATGAGGAAATGGCTGCCGACAAGATGTCGCTTAGCTTGCAGGAAACGGAAGTGGATCTGGGGACCTGTTTGTACCGCCTGCGTTTACCGTTGCCTCATCCCGTCGATGTGGATCGTTGTCAGGCGAAATACGACAGCGAGCTGAAGAAACTGAGGCTCACTCTGCGCCTCAAACGGGAGCTAGACTACGTTAATTTTTAAAAACAAAGACCTAATTTAGCTAATACCGTTCAATTTACAGCAGACTACCAAAGCCCTAATTTTGCCGATACTAATTACTCTAGACTACACTTTTGAAAACTAAAGCCCTAATTTACCTAATACCCTACACATTACACAACTCAACACCACACAACTAGGTGTAACGCTGAAGTACCATACCAAATTTTGAGTGTATCGCAACTAGTGAGTCCAGAAATGCAAGTCCAAATTTATTGTGCGACGTTTAATTTGATATTTCTTTTGTGTTTTATTACCGAAAAACCTTATTTTAAAAGATCTGATATATCTGATATATTAATTTATAGGTGTAATTCTGCCCAATGTGATATAGGAAAATTGATTTAATTCACTGACCCCCAGTCTCGTAATCCTCAAATATTTATCCGAATTTACCCGCAACTCCAATTCGATTGCCGGCACTTTGGCTGGTTTTGCTACCAAATTGCGCATACGCCGCATGGGCCTTGCTGCCGGGTCAATCGCAAATTACGCTCAAACGAAGCATGAAGTATTCCTTGGGCGCTGGGGCAGCCTTTATTATGATGCTGTCAAAAATCACTTTGGCTAAATATTTGTCAAGCACAGACAAACAAAAGTCAAATACAACACAACCGAAAAAAGAAAAAATGGAACTCAAAAGGAAAAGTTGAAACTCGTGATTTTTTTTACAGACTGGTTCGACCTAATAGGCCGTGAGTTACGGGGCAGGGACTTTCGGTTTGTGGGCTTTGGGCCACACAATTACTTCCCGCTGGGTCTGCGGCTGCGTTTTGCCTCATTTACTCTGACTGACACTGGCACATTTCAATTTGTGCGCTCCGGGCAAGCTGGGCCCCGATTTTCGCCACCCGGTCACCGGCAGAGACATGATAAAGTGTCATCCTGCTCACCGAAAAAAGCACATATATATATATAAGTTAAAGTTCACACGGACAGACAAAAAGCCGAAAAAAGATAAAAACTCGCAAGTTTTGGGCAGCTGGAAGTGCGTGCCTCGCCTGGCGAACTATGAAGTTTGGGTTCAGGGGATCCAGATCGGGGGAAGCAGACCTTTTGCTTCCTTTTTATTTTCTTAATGAAAGTTTTCCACAGGACTATGATGATAAATCTTCTGACAAGGACTCGGCTGTCGACGGAAAACTTTCAATTTAATTTAAATGCCTGAGTCTCGTGGGCGGCGGTGTGGAAATGGAAAGTGAATTACAGCAAATTAGGGATACAGAATGAGAGCTCTCAAAGAACAAATTATTATAAACCCGGGTTTACCTCCATTAAATGATGACAAAGATATGGTTAAAGGGAAAAGGTTTTAGAGACAGAGACTGAAATTTCCATTAAACAAACGAATATTTATCCTAGCCAAAGGAAACCAATTTCTCAGCCCAGAAGGAGAATGACAGGAAGACGGCAAGGTAAACAATCTGAAATTGTATCAGCATTTCCGGAACACTCCTTTTCGGCTCTTTTCTATTCAATGACGTTCAACAGGGAAAACAAACAGGCCCGGAAAAAAATTACCATGTGTTGATGTTAGACTTCACAAACAAACAAAAGGAAAACTTGGCCGCACTCGAAAAAATGGGAAAACTACGCAAAAACCAACAGAAAAAGGCTGACAAAAAACCCACATTTTTTGCAGCTCATTTACACAAACGCACGTTTCTGCATCATCATCACGGTGATCATCCCGTCTGGGACCACACCCTTTTATCATCTTTTAGGAAAGTTTTCAGCAACACAAATACAAATACGCTTACAACTACACCGCCGAATGGGAACAGCAAATTCAAATGCAAATTGGGCGCATTTTTCACATGTGCAATTGGGTTTGGGAAATTTCGTCTACCTCGGGGCGGGAGAATTGCCAACTTTTTAATATGTGTAAAATACTGTTTGCGAAATACTTTAAACCACGGGGATATTCATCATTAAACGGTGGCTTGTCCTTGGCTTGTGCAATAAATAATAGTGGCACTTGGCCACACTTGAAAAATGCAATAAGCCAAGGGACACGCTTCCTTTTGCGGTAATCAGCTTTTGCTCCGTTGCTTCGTGAGTGGTTAACTGGAACAAGTGGTTGGGCCCAAGGTTAAAACAATAAGCTGACGAGATGAAAACTTAAAGCCAAAAAAATTCCTCTGCAATGAAGGATCCGCATTTCCCCTTCGTATCCCCTCTTCGATTTCATCCCCTCTTCGATTTCATCCCGTTTGCTTTCCCTGTTAATTGCCATCTGATTAAAGTTAACTCGGCTTACAGCTTAAAGCTTTTCCGGCAGCAAGTCACCCTGCTGAAACAGAGACTTCCATGGGTTCTGTATGTCATTGTCCACTTTGGTCACAGGAAAATTTTCTCTTGGGTTTTATTTCGTATTTTTTCCCTGGGCTTCCGTTCTACATAAATCTGCAGGTTTTATTTTTAATTACCAGTAAAACCATTTCCATGTCGACACAGTTAAAAGTTAAAACCGGAATAAATTTCAATAAAAAAGAAATGATAAATACAAGAAAATATTTTTTGGGAGAACGGCTTTTGAGTTGCAATGGGTCCTTGTGAATGCTAATTGGAAACAGTTTAAGAAAATTTATTCGATCGAAGGGAAAATAATTATTTATTTTTATTGTTGTGGATTTAAGTCTTTAATTTAAGATGAACGTCGAAAAAATAAAATCTTTTTTGGAATTGTTTTACTGGCACTTTATTTACTTAATTTTGTAATAGTAAAATAATTTAATTTTCTTCGCCACCCATGACTTCAAACTTATTACTTGATCATCGTGTTTTTCTCACACAGCTTACTCCAACTGCCACAATTTACCAATTTCCGCACAAAACACTTTTCACAGCTCATTAAGGCTAACAAATTAAACAGGATAGCAGGAAAACAGAAAGTATGAAGTTGCGGCGTTTAAGGAAAAAGCGAAGCACAAAAATATCACACATACGCCATGTGGTGCGCTGCGTTCTGGCATCTTTGGTAATTGTAGTTAGGCAAGAAGATGCCTTGTTGCTACATGGCGAAATAACAAAATCATTGTGGAATTTAATTAAGTTGCCTGGTCGGAGCCGCAGTTGGTGTGAACAGAACAGAACGAGCCCATTAACACATTTTTCAAGTTTAATTCAACGTAATAACAAATTTTGCTAGGCAAAAATGGTGGAGGGCGGAAGGTGGGGGGAAGAGGAAATGCTGTGGCACTCAAGCAGCCATATAAATTACAGACAGACATGAGCGGCATACGAGGAGGACTCGCAGGATGCGAAAGTGTTGCCATTAGGTCGCACACGTGTGCCCCAGCAGAGCGGAGAAATGCCGAGGAGAGAAAGCCCGGAGAAAGTCAGACAAGTCAGTGCAAAGTGCCAGCGGCAGCTGATGGCTCTTCAAGCACATTTCTTCAAGTGGCTTCTATTTCTCAGGCCGCCACCCCCCTAATTAAGACAAATGTAAAAACTACAATAACAAAGTCCCGAAAAGCCAAAAAGTATAGAAAGCACTGAAAGGAAAGATTATTAATTTTGCTACCGATATTGTAATTTATCCTTTGACTAGTAAATAATATTAATCTTATAGCATGTAAATTTTGTACATATATTTGGTTAAACACATTTAATCGAAGGTAGCATAAAATATTTATCGATATTAAATGCATAAAATAAAATTATGTACAATTAAAACAAACTAATAAAAACAAATATATACAATATCTTAATAAAAAATTTAAAATTTATTTTTATAAATATTTAAAATATTTCTTCATTTAGCTTAAAATAAAAACGAAAAAACGTTTTTTTTTACTCTATTTATTTTTAAAGGTTGGAATATTAATTGAGGGTAAAATATCAATGAAATTAATAAACAAAAAATTACCAAGTTAATGACCAATTCTCAAGATTTTTCTTAGTGCACTTGTCAGGCCCTCTTCCGAAAGTTGATAAAAACACATTTTCACTTTAGTTCTTTTTGCGACCTGCTTGTTGACACACGGCATTTATGTTTGCCCTGACATTGTCACGTGTCTCATCTGGCGCGTCCTGCGGCAGCAACAACACACAAAAATGAAACAGCAGAGCCAGAGCAACAAAAACAAAAGAAGAAAAGGCGAAAAGAAAAGGAATGGAAAGGAAAAGCCAGCAGCAAATGTCAATGTCTCGCTGAAGTGGATGGCTTTCACCTCCCGAGGAGCTGGGCGTGACCTTTTCACATTAATCTCCAGCATGATGGCATTTTAATGCAGGAAACTCAACTATAACTATATGGTTATTTATTGTGATGGGTCTGACAGATGTTGTTCTTGATATGGGTGTGGGCTGTGGAGTCGAAACAGGAACATAACGAACTGGCAAATGGTCTCGGAACATTCAATTATATCATCAATTAGTTGGGTGTGCAACATGTTGCCAAGTGATTTGGACAGCAGATTAGCTAACAGCATGAGTCCGCTTCGCATAAGAAATGAAAGTGGGATTAAAGAGGGTTATTTCCCGGCAGTATGTGCAATACAACTAATTTAGATGGATCACAAGACGTTAGTTTTAATAATTAATGTACAAAATATCGAGGAAACGTAACTTAAGAAATCGAATTTCGTACCTCATTTAAAAGAACAAATTTATTTAAATTAGGTAGTATAAAGAGTAATCTTAAGAAAAAAAATGTTTTTAAAAAGTTATTTTGCTTGTTTCAAGATAGACGATTTCGTTACAAATAAAAGCCCTTTTGACTTTATATATGCTTGGAATTTAATTTAAAAAAAATAAAATTTTTTAAATTTACAAATACATTTATTTAATGGTTGATAGATAGACTTATTGATAATAAATCTGAATTTATTTCTATACATTATGACCCTTTAAAAGCATTAAATCAAATCATTCTGCCTTCTTCTTGCCTGACTTCACAAAAAATTACTTTTAAAGTCCATCTTTGGGTGATTGCTCCCATTTATATGCCCAAAACTCAATTTATCCCCAACTAAACTCTGCCCAAAGATACAAAGCAATAAACAGGACCGAGCGGAAAAATGTTGCCTACTTAGCAGCGCAACGAGTTTTCAATAGAAAACCCACAAAGTGAAAGACGTTGCAAAAGTCAAAGCCCAGCCACAAGGCAAATGCCAAATGGCATTATCAATAGTGGATTCAGCTAGTCCCAGAAGATATAGAAAGTAGAACGTGTGTGAGTATGACTGGGTGCAGTCATGAACATGCATTCGGATTCGGAGCTGTAGATATAGCTGCAGCTGTGGATATACGAGTATATGTGTGTATATAGAGCGACATGCCATTTATTCCATTGAACAAAAACTCATTTGTAAGTGTTTTTATGCGTAACGGAATTTATTATAAAGGAGGAGCCGTTCCTCAGCAGATTTATTGCTTTATTACGATGTGGCAGAGCGATGGGTATCAAGATGGGAATCCAGTTTGGCGACAAAGGCCAGAGGAAAATAAAGAAATGGCTGGCAAATATTTAGCACATGAAGGCGAAAAACTCGCTGAAAGAGCGATGGGAGGACGGCGGAGGGTTGTGAAGGGGAAAATGGCGAGAGAATGAATGCTGCATTTCCGTCTTTTTCGGCTTTTGTCTCGCTTTTCTGCGTAGGGATTCTCCTCGAATGGCGGCGGATTGTGGGTGGCGGAATGGGGTGGTGGACCTTGAGGGTGTTCCACATCGTCGACATCGTCATCAGCATCATTCTCATTGCAGTCGTTAAGTTATAGACTTTGATTTCGTTCGCTTCATTCAGCTGTGGGGCAACTTTTATCCCTGCCACCCAGAGTGTGCGCTCTTTGGCAGAGTCGTTTCCGAGATTTATTTGCCTTGTGCCCTGGCAACCCTCGACACCCGACGCTCGACATCCATATCCCTTTGCTTTCGCCTTTGCCTCACTCTTAAATGGCTTTAATTGATTTCTGATTTTATGACCCTGCTGGACACATTTCACACTCGATTACATGCCAAGTGGGGTATGATTTGAGAGGCTTTGCATTGTCTTAAGTCCCCTTATCAAAACGTTAGTTTCAGGAATGTCTTCTATAATTAGAAAAAAAAATCTGCGTTAAAAAAAAAACAAAATTCTATAAAAATGGTCAGCTTATTTATTTTAGGGACTGCCAGTATAAGTTTAAAAAAATTGAAGCCCAAAACACCGTTGAAAAACTATCGTAATAATTACAGTCCCTGATTTATTTATAAGTTTTCAAACAAAGGTAGCCCTTTAATTGTTGTCAGAAGGTATTTTCTCAACTGTCTCCATTCGAAGTTCCCCATCAACAGTTCTATTTCATAGCTCCTGCAAAGCTAGTCAAATTTCCTGATAAATTATTTATTTTTAAAAATGTCGGAAGAAGTATCTGATGAATTAAAGGATCTTGGAAGCTGTGAAAACAACAGCGCCGACGATACAGGCGTGGTGCCTCTAGATACCTCGGAGGATGCCCAATTCTCGGAGCAGATGTTTTGCAACATCCAGGAGCGACTGAACCGGATTATGAAGCGAGTGAGTCTGGCCAATTCAGCTATGGCCCAGATAAAGAGGAAGCTCAAGGCCAAAATTCCGTCAACGACTGTACTTGAAAATGCCGACAAGTTAGCTGGAGGAGATAACCCATTGAGATTCGATACCAACGAACCAGGCAATGAAGATACAAACGAATGATTTAACAAAGAAACATTGTTATATTTTTGATTTCGTCAAATTGTTAATGTAATTATGTAAATCAGTGTTCCAACATAACACGTGTGTTCCCCAAAAAACACATTTTCGATCTATAAATACAATTACTGTTAAATTACCCAGTTCTTTTAAGTGTAGCCCACATTTCATAAAAATCCAGTAAATTATTGAGCTGATCCCATATTATAAATTGACCCAAAATATCCTGATACATATTTACTGCGAAAAGGGAAACATAATATTCCGCTCACATGCACCCTTTTCACCATAATTTGAGCCACTTTCCAGCGGCATTAACAATTTATTTGGGGCTTTCCACACGCAATTGCCACACAGGCTTCCGCTCGGCCCACAAACTATGACTTCTTTTCGGCGCACAATAAACTTTTTATTGACCGCCCTTCAAAAATGTTACCCCGAGCAGTTCCGAATAGCTGCACTTTGTCAAGGGTCTTTTGTTTTCGTCGAAAACTTTGTCGGCGACCTAAATGAAAGACAAAGTCGCAAAATTTGAGACCAAAATTTGAATTTGCCTTTTGCCACATACACATACAAAGACGGATTGCCTTGGGGCCAAACAAATATGTTAAAAGCAATAAATAAGGAAGGACATTCTTCAAGTTCGTCGGCTAGCGCTCGACTTATTGGCAAAATGTGTGTGACAAAGCCTGACAGAAAACTGAAACTGAAACAGAAACTGAGCGCAACACTGGAAATGAAGCCGAACATAATTTGCCATAAAATGCCATCGCAGCGTCGCGTTAAATTATATAAAATACTTTTATTGTTAACTTGCAAAAATGTCAGAAGCATTTTGTCAGCTGGCGAATCTCGACGGCAGCAATTGTGCAGTGCGTTTATCACTCCAACTGGTGCAACTGTGGCACGTTGCAGCTGCTCCTCGGATTCCCCGTTGCGGATCCTGCAGCAGTTTGTCATAGTCCACGGAATGTAGTCCTCAGTCCTCAGTCCTCGCACTTGCCAGACGCTCTCAGTTGCATTTTGTCACAACTCCCAGCTTCATGCTTAAGTAAACTTTGCCTCAATGTTGTGACTATGCACTGTGTGTGATAACCGAGTTGACTGAGTGAACTCACTCGGCTGAATGAATGGGTGCCTGAGTGGGCAAAATGGTTGAGAAGAACTGCACTCGAGTGCCAAGATAAATTCGAAACTTTTACGACGAGCTAAAAGGCATATAAGGGAAATATAAAGGCATTGCCTCGCTCTGATTTATGGAGTAAAATAAAAAACAACAGGAAAATAATATCATTTCGTAGCTTTTTTAATGTTTATAACTTTAAAATATGTGCGAAAAAATATTTTGATTTTTATCTTCAAATATTTAAAAATGTAAACTGACTATTTTAAGTTTAGTTACTAAAATCATTTCTATGCCTAATAGAAATGATTTAAAAAATCGAATAATCATAACAAAGGCACAAAACTGAAATAGTATCAATTTTCAGCTTTTAATTTCCGACTGCGAGCTTTGAAGTCTAGCCAAATATACACCCCTCCCTTGCCTGGCGTAATCGATTCATTAAAATTTCAATATGAGCCTCACATGAAATTCAATTACAAAATGGCACAAAATTCGAAGAGCCTCCCATGAATCTGTGCCCATAAATTCACGAAAGCTTCTCATTTTCCTGATTTCGGGGCCCCACACAATTTAGAATAGGGAATGCCGAAGAGACCCAAAACGGAGAAAATTCCCAAGTTCAATGTAACCTGTCACAGGCAGCAGACAAACTAATAACGTTTCGATAATCGCAGCAGGGAAAGTGGAAAGTGGCGGGGGGAAACGGGCATTCATGGGAAATCAATCGCGTTGAAATCGAAACCGAAATTGAAACCGAAACTGAGGCTGCGGCTGATGGGTTTCGACTGAGAAGTGTCCTGTCATTTGGCCAGGGGTCCTCACTCAACAAATATTTCAAGGCTTTCTGGCGAATGTCGATACTGATGATGATGCTGATGACTAACACTCTTCAATGACTGTCCATTTCCTAGCGACTTAAACAGTGCTGTTAGCACACAGAAAAGAATATCCAAAAAAACTGAGACAGAGATAATCCATTTTAGGAAAGCTAAGTAACACCACATTTAAACTTTTACTTATTGTTCAATAAAAAAATTTGCTCTTTTGTACTAACTACGGAAATTAAATTAGTTTTTGCACATGAGGAGTGCTCATTGAGCAGTGCTCATTGAGCACATATGATTTTACATTCAGCTTTAATAAGAATCCTTGGGCCAGCATTTATATCGTTTTGGAAATCAGCTACAGCCAAACAAATATCAGCTTTGAATTTTCATGGCGATCTTATCTTAATTTAAGAAAATTCATTGATTCACTTGGGAAATTTAATTTTATTTTATATACTTTTTTTAGAAGTATTCAATTTGTTTGTTATTTAAATATATTACAGCTTTTATTAATTCTAAATCATTGGCTTATTTCTAAAAACAAACTCAGGACGAATATGGCTTTTATGTTTTGTTGATCCAAATTTTTTGTAGGTTAACAAAACCATCCGAAAAATCGACAAAGCGACAGAACTAGACTCAAGTCCTTTTCCCGTTAGTCTTTTTCCGTTGGTAATCTGTGGAAATTAGCATTTCAATCAAATCTACTTTTATGTGTCTGACTTGTTTTATGCCTCAACGACAGCAACAAAGGCATCCTCATCACACTCATCGTCATCATCATTCGGCAAATGAAATTGTATCCATTCTGTTTATGCATTTGACGAGCCCTGAAAAGGAAAATTGTCGAAATTGATTGATTAAATATTTATTCATACGGAAGTGCTTAGCGTGTTTTCCCTTTTGCACGTTTTGGGGGAAACCCTACATATTTATGAACTGTGGCCTTTTTCAGAAGTTTTTTTTCGTATTTGTTGTCTACTTTAGTAGGCTTTCCCTCTGGTTGTGTCATTAATTCAGTTAACATGGAATCCCTTTTGGGCATAGCTCAGATGTTTACTGGAAGGTATACAAAAATTCCTGAACCAAACATCAATTTACTGAAACAAGTGCTTAATAATTTAGTCAATTATTAGGTCCATTTTAATACACTTCAACGGCTGGTTTCTTATAAATCATTATAAATCGTTGAATACACTCATAGAAATTTTTACCTAAATACTAGAAAAGTCGCCCTAAAACCGAGGTCGCCCTAAAACTACGAAAAATTTTCTTATTATACGGGTGGCTAGCCCTAAAGTTACAAAAAATCGCCATGGAAAATATTTTTTAGGGTTAGTTTTTCCAAAAAGGCCAATTTGCCCTGTTTTTTAGGGCGAATTTTTATGAGTCGACTCCAAAAGTAATTCCTTCTTTTTAGGGCGAAATCGCCCTAAAACGTAGAACAACATAGCAAAAAAAATGTTCTGAAATTGCCCTAAAAACAAGGAAGAGTCAAACGAAATTTTAAGACGCAATTAATGGATACATATGTAATACATGTGTGTATGTGTGTGTGGTTGACAGGTCAAAACAAGTGAATGTGTGTGTATATTAGGGCGGACCTTTTTCTATGAATTTTGATGCTGAGCGCATTTGACTTTAGAGAAGTCCACCCTTTTTCTTCTTCTTTGCTACTTTTCGTCCGTTGCAGTGGCAAGGGTGGGGGTAGAAAGAGTTGCATTGTCTAGACTTTGTCATAATTTTTCGGGCGCTTGGCAGTGACAGACGTGTTTGTATGAAACCTTTTGTTTGTGAAAAAGTTAAAAATGTAAACGCTATTAAAGGACTTGGGAGGCGATTCTTTTTCTGTTTTCTGGTGAGTACATACATATATAATTGTGCAATTTGGATATTAATAGCTAATTGAATTTACATATCTGTAACAAAGGAAAATGCAGCTGAAACTTTAAAAAATTTGAGTGGAAGCAGCTACGAGGAGAAATTCCTGTTCAACTAGTCGGTCCAGAAGCGGAAGTCTTGGAAGTGTGGCTGAACAAAGTAAGATCATTAATAAGAGTATACATATATGTATGTGTATTTGTAAATAATGCTTGAGTTAAAAAGATGATGCAACATAATACACACATACATATGTATATATTTACAAGAAATCTGTATTTATGCACCGGACAAACCGCATTCACAAGTGCATATGCCAAAACAACCCCCAAATTTCTATTGCGACATTTCGTCAGTGCTCGAAATTTGCTTTTGCTGCTTCTTTTTTTTTCTAGGAGTAGCAGCAAACGCACTCGCAGGCTAAATGAAAATTGTGTGTGTTGGTTGTGCATTTTTATATTAATTTCTAACAATTTTTTCTTTTTTTTTTTAGATCGAGAACGCTTTTCAGATCCAGCTTTCGCAAACCACTTTTCGGACTTATTAAAAGCAGGAGTAAGGAAGCAACATGAAATAAACCTGCTCAAATTTTTGTAAAGCTCTGAAGGTAAGTGCTTCTCTTTTTTTCTATTATCATATAATAATTAGACTGTTTTCATTTAATAGAGATACAATCAACTTTAAATTGGCTTGCGATCCATTCAGTGTTGGTGCCGACAGCAAGAACAAAAAAGGACGCCGGGAGCAAGAACGCAAGCACACCATTGCGGACTCGGGAAGCCGTTTCTATTAAAGTTATTTATTATTTTTAAACCCGATATAATCCATTTAGCAATAAGAATAGGAGAGTATGTAAATTTGTATAACTATAAATTGTGTAAATATATTTGTAGTTAATGTAAATAACAACAAACAAAAATATAAAAACAAAAAAAAATATATTGAAATTGTATTTTTATTTTTGAAAAATGGCCGTGAAATTTTGGGGAGCATTTTGCATGTTTTAGGGCAATTCACCTACAAATCCAGAGAAAATGCCCTAGATTTATGAAAATCTGCCTTTAGTTTTAGGATATTTTTCCTTATTTCTAGGGCAATTCGCCTTAAAATCCAGAAAAACACCCTAGATTTATAAAAAACTGCCTTTAGTTTAAAGGTATTTTTTCCGATTTCCAGGGCATTTCTCCTATAAGTCCAGAAAAATCGCCCTGGATTTAAAGGAAACTGCCTTTAGTTTAATGGTCTCATTTCTTATTTTTAGGGCAATTACCTTTGAAAATAGAAAAATCGCCCTAGATCTACGAAAAATCGCCCTAAATGTATGACAAAATCACCCGTATTTTTAGGGCAATTTGCCCTAATTTTGTTGCCTAGTCGCCATTGACCCCCGTTTTAGGGCGATTTTCCCTGTTTTTAGGGCGATTTTACCGGAAAATTTCTATGAGTGTATTTTTATAATTTATTTAAGACTTAATCACTAAATGGTCAACGCAAATTAAAGCTTTCAAACCGCTCACTTACGAATAATTTCGGTAAATGTAAATATTTGCTTGTTCCTACGGCTTTGCCCGCATTCCACGTCAACTTCCGAATGAAATTTCCCCAGACATTGTCTGGAGATCTCATCTCGCCTGGGAGCGTGCCTCATTAATTCGGTTAGTTCCCGGCACTTAAAGTCAATCAACTGGCCCGCAGGAAATCTTAATTAAACAAACTTGTTTGGCAAATCTTTTCTAAATGGCCCCCACAGCACAAACAGGATGGCGAATCGAGGACCTCACCAGCTCTGGCCAACCCTAAACCAAGGTCTTTGCAGACGTTCATGTTGGTATTGAACAAATGCCTATTCCGGATACACTTAGCCGGAATATGGGGTTGCCGGAAGAGGGGATCGGAGCCAGCCTCCATTTGCGGCTAAACGTGCAAAACAATTTGGCGGTTCTTGCACATTTTCGACTTTGATTTTGGCCAGCTATTTTAAGTTCCCAGAGAGCTGTTGAGGGTGCTCCACAAATTGGTAGTGGGCATGCTTAAAGCACTTCTGCTGCACTTGGAATGGCGAAAGCCGAGCACGGCTCTGAGTATTCCACATTCTGGGGCCAGGTCGGCTGCCTGGGCCATTAAAGCACTAATAAATTCTCAAACTCATATCAATCGATGGCTGTGCAGAGATGTAGGCCCCATAAAGCGCTGTTTAATGGCGAATGTTTGCTCTGGCTCCGTTGGGCACAAGAAGTGTATAAATAACCATTCAGCACTATTACGTCGGGAGCAACCGACATTAAGATACTTGGCAACCGATTCTTTGAATATTTAATTTATTCCCAAGTAAATAGTAAATTAGAGTCTTATCTAATTTAAAAATATTTTTTTTCTTGGAATATATTTTTATTTAAATGCAATATAAAAATATACATTTTGATTTTTTATAGACAAACAATATCCTTAGATTCATGTTTAAAATAAATAAAAACAATCACTATTTATAATGCTTAAATGCCTAATGTAATTTTCAATACCAAGTTGCCCATTTTTACAGAAATACCTATTAAACATGATAAGACGACTTACCCCTGTAATCTCGAATATCTGGCAGAAACGTAAGCTCATATAAGGTGGAAGAAAACTGCAGCAAATGGTGGCCGTAAATTTATGGAACGAATGCTTTGGAGAGCGATCAGAGTAATGAAGCGATTTAGGGTGGTGGCTTGATTAGAAGCTGGCTAAATTAAGTTAAAGTAACTCCGGGTTCAAGCTGCAGTATTCCATTTACTTCCTCCCAACTCTAACCATGACTTGTTGGCAAACCTTTCAACCATCTCATCATTGGGAGTGACCGCAGCATTCACTCAATGAACACCTTTTGAACCCCATTTGGAGCCCTCGTGATCCCGATGCCTCTATTCAATGGACCGCAGCACACTTCCTGCCCCTTTGGGTAATATAGCAAGAAAAAGAAACAAGAATAATAATGAAAAAGAAAAGTTTGTTTTCCCCCGTTGATATTACTTTAAATATGCAAAACTTCACTGCTTTATGTCCTTGCAGCTGTCCAGTTGGCCGGCCAGGGGTCCTTGTCCCAGCTACTTGTTACCCTAACGAAGTGCGGGGATTCCCCTTTCAAGTGGGGGGAAAGAGACAAAAACAGAAAAAACAAAAATAAAATAATGCTCACAAATATTACGTTACACAAACACAGAGCCAAGTTGGCAAAGCGTTATGGAAAAGTTGCGTCTGGTCCTGGGCCACTTTTGCATTACATTATCTCAAGTTTTGCGCTGGCAATTTCTCATGTTTCCCCCAACATATTCTCTCGCATGTCCGTATTTGTATTTACCCATTGTCGTGCTCATAAACATGCAGCTGACTTGTTACTGTCCTACCATACCATCATCATCATCGTCATCGTCGTGCTCAACGTCAGGGAAAACTTGTGACGCGAGACAGAGACACAAGAAAAACTGAGACTCTGATAAAAAACTTTGCCTCATTTTCATGTCGGGCCAAATGAGTTTTGGAAAGTTGGCCATCCTCCGTCTCCCCGCCCAAAGTCATCGGGCAACTCGGCTAATGGTGACAGTAATTTTTAATAAAAGCTGCCAAGTGTCGACGCAATTTACAATTTACACACGCCCCCAAAGTTTGATGAAATAGTTGGCAGGAATTTGCATTCCTAGTGACGGCACAACTTCGTCTTGCGGCTACGCGAATTCTTCAGCATTCGATGAGTAATCTTCTCCTGGCGATCCGCAAAGTCGATGATCCTCTGGCAATGGATCAGAGTACCCTCAAAGTCGCGCTTTAGTTTGATAAACTTGTAGCGAACATCCACATAGGACTCGTCCAGCTCCTGGGCACTTCTGGCACCGTAAAGTTGACTGAGCATCTCAAGTTCCGAGTCAACGCTCCGCAGGGACGACGCATCCATATCCGTAGACTCGTGGCTGAACAGCGGATAGTCCTGTTTGAAGGGGTCCATGGAAATGAAATAGCGCCCGGGAGCATTGTACTTCCGATTCAGGGTCTTCACAATGTCCAGGCACTCGTTCAAGTCGTCCTCCATGGAGTAGCAGATGTCCAGGGCATGATCGATTTTAACATTTTCCGTTTGTATCATCATCGTTTTACTTCAATTGAATTTGATACTAATCTCAAGTGAACTATGTGTGAACAGCATTGGCAAATGACTCAAGGAATTCGACAAATATCAAATTTTGTAAAAACAAAATAACACCCATTGAAACAAAAAAAACTTTTAAAAACGAAAAGTATAAAAAATACGATTTGAAAGATTTTAAAGTGTGCTGTGAAACTACTGTGAAATTACCCTAAAAAATTAAAAATCAATGTATTAGGATTCACTTTGGTTTTGGTTTCCGACGACTTGTCCTTAATTTCTGAAAGTAGAAACGGAAACGAAAAATATCTATAGGTATATCTGAACAATACTTTTTTATTATATTTAATTTACCTTTGATACCTTTAATTTATTATACAACTTCTCCAGGTCCTCGACTCGATCTATGAGATCATTTATCTTGTCAATTTTCATGCACCTATTTTTGCAATCCAGCATTAGATTGGCTTGCTTTTTCTGCTCTTCTATCTGATCTTTGACCTGTTTTTCCAATTCGTCGGATGGTAAAAGTTTTTCTTTTATTTTATCTAGATCTTGACTAACTTCATTGTTGAATTTCTCCAGACGTTGCACTGACTCCTTTCTGATATTTCCTAGAACTTCGAAATCCTTTATCATCTTCGCAACATCTTGTTTCAAGTCGTCGAATTCCTTTTTTAAACTTGCCAACTCATCCGGAGAGTATGTTAAATTTTCTATAGAATCTTTATCTTTTAATAACCCATCTTGCCTCTCTTTTAATACTTCAAGTTTCAACTTAGCTTTGTCTAGCACTTTATTAAGGTTCTGTACTTGCTCCCGAAGACCGTCATTATTCGATTGCTTCTTGTCGCCCAACTTTTTTAGGGCATCGTCCATGGCCTCTTTTATGGTATTAAATTGATCTGTGTTAGCTTTAAGGTGATCATTATAGGTTTGGTTCATGTCCTTAAGCAAACGTTCTAAATTAGCCACTTGCAGGAGAAGCTCGTCAATTTTTTGGCAGCACTCCGGGAACTTTTTAAGATCATTTCGTAATCTTTCACGTTTTTCTTCTAGTTCCCTAATGTTTTTTTTAAGGTCTTCATCAGAGGAACAATTTGATTGCACAAAACAGGATTCATTTTTTTGTCTTACTAAATTCTGTAGATGAGATTGAATTTTGGTTAGCCTTTCGCCATTTTGAAGACAAGTATTAATCGTTACACTTAAATTTGTTGATGATTCAGGGATAACCAAATCGATAAACTTTTTGGAAACGGCTTCGACGAGTATCTGTAAGTTTTCGATTTTCTTTTCCAAGTCAAGTAAGCGGTTGTCTTCAGAACCATTTTTATTTAAGCAATTTTTGGCGCACTGTTCTAGAATTTGTTTAATATTTAATATTCCGGGCTTATCCTCGGTGGTTTGCTTAAGATTAGTTGCTATTTCTGCTGCTTTATGTTGCTTGTTTTTTAGATCTTCTAGCTGGTTCCCTAACGTATGGGCTTGATCTTCCTTTTCGTTTTTCGCCAACCTGAGCCTATTTTCCAAATCCTGAACTTGACTTTTCAGCTCAATACAACATTTAGTATTTTCATTATTGTCACCCATTTGTTTTTGTAGCATTTCCAAGTTTGGTTTAATTTCATTTATTTGATTCTCCAAGTCTTTTAATTTTTTATGAAATGCGTCATTTTCTGTGGATTTTTCTGAGTTCACTTCTTTCAGTTTTATTGTTAGATCTTGCACTTGTTTCTTCATATCATCTTTTAGGTTTTCAAATAATAAGTTTTCACAGCAGCTTTTTATGCCCTTGGGTACTACTTCTTTCATCCGGGGCAAAATAATTTCGAGATTCTTTTCCAGATCTCCTATGGACTCAAAAGCAGTTTGGGTTCCATTGGCTTTGATTGCATTGACATTTTCAATGATTAATTGTAGAGTGTTCTCCTCATAGAAATAGCACTTTTTTAGTGGATTCGTTTTATATAATGAGCTAAGAATGAAGTCCAGATCGGTTTGCAAATACCTCAATTGGGTATTAAGATTTATCTGCTCACGCATCCACCCGGCAATATCGTTGTAGTCTTGGCACTGCTCATTCAGTGAAGGTGCTTTTTCTTGATTTGACGGACTTTCCACGTCATGGGTATTTACTTGGTTCTCCGTCGTCGTAATTGCAGATAGCAGAAGTAGTAGTAGTGACGCAATCGATACCTGTGCTTGGCGTTGGCATTGTTGAATGAACACTTTCTGATTGTTGGATCCATTGAACTCACCTTTGGTTTCATTTTCGTCACGTTTGCTGCGGTCCACGAACCTCTGTCGCCGGTTAGCCAAGTTCAACTAACTGGACAAAGAGAGAGAACTATTAGTCATCTTTGACAGAGAGTTGACCATCAATCGATTTGCATGCTGTGCTTATTAACCAACAAGGGGAGTTTAAGAATTTTCAAGCCATTTTGAAAAATAACTTAATTTAATGATTTTTCTATCGTCCAATTAAGTGATGTCTTAAAAATTATACAAAACTATTATGATAAATTTTACCGCTTTAATGAAAAAAACATAAAAAAATTGGCAAAAGAAGAATTCGTTACAAAATTGAATACAATTTTTTTGGAGTGGTTTTAAAATACTTTAGAAGAAAAGAATAGGATTTGTATTTAACATGCGCATTTATTTGTAAAGATGGAAACCCATTTCGGAAAATTAATAGGTACAGTTAAGAACCACATATTCCTCAGGACGTTCCTTGGTTTACTCGAATGTTCTAAAACATAAAATGAAAAAATAAAATGTAAAATAAATTTCCGTAGTGTTAGCTTACAAATATTTTATTATCCTGTATACCGAGGAGAGGTATAATCGACACCACCTATTATAACATTAGAATCTGTCGGTTTTGGCTTCGGTTTTGGTTTTGGTTTAGGTTTAGGTTTCGGTGTCGGCTTCGGCTTCGGCTTTTGACTTGGTTTCGGAAGGGGTTTAGGTTTTGGTTTAACTTTCGGAGTGGGTGTAGGTTTCGGAACACGTATCGTTACAAACATCTGCTCCGCTTCTTCAATTTGTTCCACGAGGTCATTAATTTGGTTTATCCCCTTGCATTTTCTTTGACATGCAAGCTTTAGTTTTGATGGCGTTTTCATGTTTTCCATCTTATCTTTGACCAGCTTTTCTAAGTCTTCATGGCGCTGAAATGTTTCCTTTAATTTATCCAGATTTGGTCGAATGTTATCGTTTAGTTTATTTATACGTTTCTCCCGGTCCTTGAAATCAGCTGAAGGTTCGCCTAACTTTTCTTGTTTAAAATCCTTTAACTGCTTATAAACCTTTTGTCGAAATTCGTTGAAATCTTTTTTAAGTTTTTCCAACTCATTCCGAGAGTTTGTTTGATGTTTGGTACTATCCAAAAGCTTTGAAAAATCATCTTGTCGTTTTTTCAGTGTTTCTAAATTCAAGTTGGCTTTGTTCAATTTTCTTTCAATGGGACTTACTTGCTCTTGTAAGCCTTTATTGTTTTCCGGTTTCTTGATGTCGCCCAACCTCCTTAGAGTTTCATTCAGGGCCTCTTGAATGGCCTTAAATTGGTCCGCGTTAGTTTTAATGTGATTATTGTAGGTTTGGTTCATGTTATGAAGCAAAATTTTCAATTGATCGGCTTGCAAGATGAGTTCATCAATTCTCTGACAGCACTTAGGGAATTTTTGTAGTTCTGCACTAAGGCTTTCATTTTCCTTTTCAAGGTCTTTAATAAGATCCTTAAGCTTTTTATCAGGCGCACAATTGTCATTACTTGATAAGCTGGCATTTACACAAGCTTGAGTTTTTTGTTTAAGCATTTCCTCAAGTTGGGAAAGAATTTTACCCAGCTTTTCGTTATTTTCCAGGCAAGTTTTGAGGTTTACACTTAACTTGGTTGAAGATCCCTGAGTGTCCAAATCGGATAACTTATTGGAGATGTTTTTGACGAGTATCTGTAAGTTTTCGGTCTTCTTTTCCAAGTCATGTAGGTTGCCCAATTCCAAACGTGTGTCCTCGGGAACGGTTTCATTTCTGCAATCTTTTTTGTATTTCTCCAAAATATTTATAGTATCCCCGCCATTGTTTTCTATCCTTTGTTTTAAAGAAATAGTTATTTTGTCCTGTTTCCGTTGCGAATTCTTTAACTGTTCGAGCTCATTCTCCAGCTTTTGGGCTTTGACATCAGCTACATTTTTGGCCGCGAAAATCTTGTCGCTTAACTCCTCAGCTTGTCCTTTCAATTCTGCACAACATTTAGAATTTTCTTCAGTGTCGCCCATTTCTTTTTGCAATTTTTTTAATCCTGATTTTACGTCTTCCATTTGATCCTCCAGATTTTTTAGGCTTTTCTGAAGATCGTCTTCTTTGTCTGAATTTACATCTTTTATTTTTCTGGCCAAATCCCTCACTTTTTCTTCGAGATCATCTTTGAGCATCTGTATTTTCTCTTGTAAGTTCTCACAACAAGCTTTGAAGGCCTTAACGACGGCTTTCTTGATCTTTGATACACTTGTTTCAAGATTCTTTCCCAAATCTCCTTTAAGCTTAGGCCGCTCAACTCCTGTTCTTTTGCCTTCACTTATTTCGTGTAGATTGTCAATAATTAATTGAAGGGTGTTTTCATTATAAGGGCAGAATTTCTTAGGACAAGTCGATCTATTGAATGAATTTATGATCAGGTCCATTTCTGTTCGCAAGTTTGACAATTGCGAATTAATGTTTAGCTGTTCATTAAACCACCTGGATACAACGGTGTAATTCTCGCACTGGTCAGTCGTCGGTGGTGCTTCTATTTGATAGGAAGGACTTCCGTTGTCATGGGTGCTTAGTTGGTTATCCACCGCCGTAATTGCAGATAGCAATGTTAGTAGTGACGCAATTGATACCTGTGCATGACATTCTCATTGTTGAATGAACACATCTTGGCTGTTGGATCCATTGAACTCACCTTTGGTTTCATTTTCGTCACGTTTGCTGCGGTCCACGAACCTCAGTCGCCAGTCAGCAAAGTTCAACTAACTGGACAAAGAGGGAGAACTATTAGTTAGCGAAGAGCAGTGACCACCAATCGATTTGCATGCTGTGCTTATTAATTACCGAGGTGTGATAGAAAACTTTAAAACGAAAAAAATTATTAGTTGTCTACGAAACCAATAGAAAAATTCTACTTTTATTAATCTTAAACTTACTTTCCCAGCTTCGGAAAATAAAGAATAGCATACAATTTAGAGATATAAAACATTTTTTCTAAAAAGACAAAACAAATATATTGCGAAATAATTAAGGCAAAGATACCTTATCATTAAAGAATGTCCCGAAATACACCAAAAAAGTCAGATTACCCATGCTGTCACCAAACTCATTCCAACTTTTAAGCGCCCCCGAGAAGAAGCAGCATAAATTTGTGGGAAACCCAATGCAATTCGCAATGCCCTGAGCAGCGTTTACTCGTTATCATCGCACAGGTTGTGGCTACAGAGCCACTTGAAATGGATACCCAACAGGGAGTCAGAACTGCGACTCCCCCGACCATCCAGCATCCAACAGCCAGCATCCAAGGCAACCCCTCGAGCTTCCCCGACTCCCTATTTTTCGGTCACCGCGGGCGGGCGGAAAAACCTGAAATGGAAAACAATTTCAGCTACGCAAACACGACGGGAAGGCCAACAAAAAAATAAAGAAAGGGAAGCACAAAAATTAAATTGCTAAGCGGAAAAGCAGAAAAATGAGAGAGCCAAAACTGAAATCACAGCAAAAGTGGAACCACAGAAATAAAGTAAAATGTATATGTATATACATTTTTGTGCTTCGCTGGGATGGTGGGGGATTTCGAATAATTTCAGCTCAAGGTGTTTGCCCAGCCATCGAGCGAGGAGATTAGTTTAATTAGTCAACGTGGCGTATGCGTCATGTGGTGGCAAGCCACCAGAAACGTGCCACCTGCGAGGGAAGCTAGCAGCGCCAAAAATGCAATCGAACTTTTCGCGTTTGACTTGCGGTAGTTGGACCGGAGAAGTCACCGGAAAACCAGGGGAAAATCAAGGGGGACTGGGACTACAGGGGTGTCAAGACAGATGCAAATGATAGGTGTTATAACCCAGAGGAGAGCAGCAGCCAGAAACTTTCTTAAGTAGTTTGCATAGTTGAGTCGAGCGGCTTCGGGAAATTGGCAAGCGTCGCTCTAGCCTGTCGAGTGATAGTTAATAGCCAGAATAATGAGAAAAAGCTCAAGGCAATCTTAAAGATATCGAAAAGCTTTTTTATTTATTACCGCGCCTTTTCATGGTAGCCAAAAATTAATATAAAATGCGCAGTCAATTGTAAAATGTTCTCAAAAAATGCTCTTTTGTTGAATTTTCTATTGATTTTATTCAATCCCATTTAAGCTGTCAAATGGTTTATGCCATCAAGTTTTATGGCAGTAAATAGAATAGAAGGCAGAGAATACGACTTTGAAATACACAAATGATAATTTATTTTCTCATTGACTTTTATTTTACTTTACTTCCAGGTGAGTTTATTCAACTTGAACTGATATTTCCAAAGAAAGATGAGGTATTAAATCGCTACCGAAGGTAACCATTGACAATAAAGAAATGGTGCTATAATGTAAAACGTTTGAAGCTGATAAAAAGGTATAAATTTGCCATTAGACAAACGTATACAAACACATATTATTTAATTTATATTTACGGTATATTTATTTGTATGATTTCTTTCATGCGTTAATTTATTTTTATATTCATTTTATTTAAATTCAATATCCAACTAACTGTCATCTTTTCGGTTGACCCATCTCAACCTATTTTTCTGGGACCTTTAACATTTAGTTCTTTTTATTCGTCATCAATTATGCTGAAAATTCTGAATAAGGTTGCCTTGATTGAGTTACTACATCAAATTCAATAAAATATGTGTCGCTGTCTGAAAACCTTGCCGAAACTTGATAAGCAAACACAGACAGAGAAATAAAGAGTCCCTTTCCTTTTCATCCCGCAATAAATCACCTTTCAACCGCACATCAATTTCCAAAAGTCCCAAGAAAAAGGAGATGTGGAATAAAACTCAGGAGTGCCAGAAACTTAGTTAACTGATATACTTCAGCCAATCAATCAAGCTGCTTTCAATTATTTCTTATTCTTTCTTAAAATGTATTTTACTGTCAATATGTGCAAAATATTTCAAGTCGTGAACTTTAACTTTTGCATTTTAAGACAAACAAGAATAAATTTATGGCAAATTAAATTCACAACCAATGGCTTTTGGCAGGAAGAAGAAAATGTATTTTTATAGTTTCTATAAAACAGACAAGTTTCTAAAATAAAGAGAACGAATACTACAAAAAATTATTAAATATAAAAATTAATTGTAATTATGTTATTTCCTTTTTTTTAACAATAAATTTACATCTTTATAATATTATTCATTAAAAACAAATTGTAATATTGTAATACATTTTTTTAAATACCCTAAAGTATTTAAAGACATACATGAACACACCAGAACTGCACTTATTTTTAACAAGACTATCAAAAAAGATAAAAAATGAATCCAACAAGGTCGACATAGGAGAAAAAAATTGCGAAAATTGGCAAAGCTTTTTCCTTTTGCGATAAGAGCTCTGCATTTGTGTGGGCATGAGCGTGTCTGTGTGAGTGTCCGCACTCATGCATGGGAATAAGCCGATAAAACCCTGACAATTGTGTCATGGAGTAGCGTTTTAGTTTTGGGATCGGACTTAATGCCTCTTGACTTCAATTTGCATAGTCGGCTTAGCAACGTCAGTGCAATGATTGAATGGCAAATTGATAGAATTCGGCATTTACCAGTTGACAGCTAAGGAAAAGCTTTTTCCGGTCGGAGGAAACGGAAGGAAAATTAAACTGATGGCTTTGGAGATTTGAGTTCAAATTCTCTTTGTGCTCGTTTTAATTATCGTAGTAGGTAAATTTGATTTGCGGTCTATTTAAAATTATTTTGGTATTGACATGTGGAATTATCTAATTATTTTTCCAACGTTTCTGTACTAATGAGTTAACATAAAGACAATTTAAAGCATTTAAATTAGTCAGCCGATGCAATGTGCTCATAATTAATTCAATTAAATATTAAAGCCTTTCCTGGCATGATTTTCACGACTAAGCATTTTATCAGAACTAAAAATGTCAGGAGCACAAAGACTTAAAATAGTTTACTAATTTAATAAAATAGACATATTTTTTAATTAATTAATTCATAAATATAATCATTTATACAAATCCACAAAAATAATGCTTAGTTGACTTACTCCCTACTTTAACCCATTTCTGAACTTTACTTTTTATTTTACTAACAAAGCAAAAGTTTTACATTCAAAGTGGGCCCTTATCATATTGACTTTGACCTAGACCGCAAGCCGTTCAGAGCCCGCAGGATGGGCAATTAATCCAATTAGGACAGAACGTATTTGCTTCTCATTAAAAATTAAGTCCCATGCTCTATGCCGGAATCAAGGGCTTTGACCAATTACCAAGCATTTTCTCACTCAAGTTCGCACATTTAAAAATTCAACAGAAAGGATGAAGATAAAGAGATTGGCAGATCGGCTTAGGAATCCCTTTGCCAGCAACTCAAATGAAAATTAAGCCATCTGCCTTCATTTAGCTTAAGTGCTTAGCCGGCGAGGGGACGCAGGCAAAGGACACGTTTGCCCACAGGACAATCAATTATGAATGCAACACCGAGCAGCAGCCTGGCAAAGGAGTCTATGGGAAAAGTTGGGTTCACATGGGGCGCGAAGCTTTTGGGCGGATAATAATGATAATTATATGTTTTTCGTGACATTGATTTGTCGCCTCCAGGTTGGGGCGCAAAATTCCCATAATGTTTAATTCATTAGCCAACTAATCGGCTTACTCTGATAATTATTATAATAGATGTCAATCATCTAATTGTAGCTTTGCCCAAGTAGGCTTCCCATTACATTTCCGCTCTCTCCTACGAGAGTTTACGTACAATTTTCCAGTACTGTCACCAGCTTGAAACCCATCCGATAAACATATACTCATAAATTAATTATACTACAATTAGTATATTTTTAAGCCCTAAAATGAACATGGGTAGAAGTGTTGCCGTGCGCTCTATTTTCCTTGGTTGTCTCCGTGAAAATGCTACCAATATGCGCCAGGAGCACGAGGATCTGGGTCGCCGCATCGCCATTTCTCTGGCGAACTCCCGAAAAACTCTGGCCAACATCGAGAGCATGAATATTGAGCTGCAGAAAATGAAGGAAACCATCCACAATGCCATCAACAATATTCGCAGAGATGCCAATTATGAAAATAAGTCTTGTCGATTGCTAGTGAACATTTTGTTTATAGTAGTTGAGGAGTTCGGTTTGGATGCCAATTTAAATCCCGAAAATGTTTCTCGAATGTTTCTTGAAGTGGATCCTACAACTGATAAGCCAGGCCTACCGGCCCTCGAAAACACTAAGCAGGACTCAAAGGGTGATGATCTTGCAAAGTCTGACTACAATGAAATAAGTTATATTGAGCCTTTAGCTGGACCTAAACCATCAGATGATCCCGAGAATTCTTTAGTTTAGTACGTTGCCGATTCCATCTCCCATATTCATTTGGAGTAAACCGGTAATCAGGACTTTATATTTTTTATCGATTCCATTAAATTTGCTGGCGAATGAACCAAAAATGTTTTCACTTTGAAAAAATTATCTTCTAATGAACACAAAAATTGTTAGGAATGACTCTTATTTCGAGCACTGAGATTCCGTTGTTTTTGCAAATTAATTTCTACGAATAATCGAAAACTTAAACAAACAATAATTTATATTAATATGTATTTATTAACAATGCATTGCTTCAAGCCTTTAAATTTCCATTTTGTATCCTTTAAAAAAACGTTTTAATATTTAATTAAGAGGTCCTATTTCTGCACACTCTGCTCTTCAACTCCTTGAACCGAAGAGCCCCAAAATGTTCATAAAAACACAAAATTATGGCCAAACTTTGCACTCAGAAAGCAAACAAAACAGCACGCACACATCGACACAAAATGTCCGGCCGCAAACGCCAAGGCAAAATTACGTATACGCACCGTGACAGGCCGCAGCCAGGACTAAAGACAAGCCCAACTGGTAATCCAAGTCGTGTGCACACCCAGCATCTATGTTCCCAAACAATTTGTCGGCGATTTGTCGGCAAACTTGAGCCATACACATTACACATACGCACCGAGTGAGCCATATTGCACATACGCCCCGTGTGACCCACAGAGGAATAACGAGAATAACGAGGTTAAATCACCAGCTGAGCAACCTGTTGACTCTGCTCTCTTCTCTGCCACTCAAGGCAATGTCACTCAGCGGTGGCTTTGTTTTGCTCCGCTCTTTCGCCGGCAACCAGCAATTTGCACTCGTTCCACTGGTTTTTCGGACGCACTCCGAGTGCTTTTCGCCATGCGACGATTCTCCAGCTGCGGTTGAGTTCAGTTGCCGCTTGTCAGTCGCCACGTGCGGTTCGGATTCGGTTTCGTTTTCGGTTACGGCTACGGTTGTGCATCCGCGGATTCCCCAGAAAGACTGCGTCGCGCTAAATCCAGTTTACGTCGCATTTTTCGAGTGGGAGTAAACGTAAGTGACGTTCGCGTGCCTAAAGTCAATTCGGATGGGGAAAGATGAAGTTAAAGATACAGTTCGATTCAGAGACAGTACAACCGAAATACATTTCAATGGAGCTTCATTTTGAATAAAGCTGTTTTATTGTATTTGGCAGAAAAATAAACCAACTGCACAGAAAACGCTAAAAATATATTATATTTAAAAAAGAAAAGAAAGTTCTTAAATAAATTTACAAACTAAATTCATTTGACAAAAATTAATACTAATTGTGTAAATAAATCTTTTTGGCCAACTAAATATAAGATAATACAAATATTGAAATCATTTTTGTAAGCTTTAAAATTGAATTTTTAATGAAACCAATCTGTTTAAATTTGTTATCTAAAATTTTTATTTATAAAAAAACTAAAAATGTTGCCAATATCTATGTGCTATTTCAAAGTGATTCCATGAATCTAAATAATTGTTGTTTATGTATCTTTTTAACTATTTCTCCTCCCATCAGGATTGGTTTATGTTCTGCTTTCCCCCATTCGGTTTCCATTCAAATTAACTAGTTCTGCAATTCTCATTTTGACTTCTGACATCGGCTGTAATCAAATTTTGCCTTTCATTTACAACTTGTTATAATTCCGGTGCCGTTCGCAGCCGGAAACGTGCTCGCCGCCGTTTTGTCTACGCCACAAAATAGCAAAAGCCAACTATAGAAAAATGAAAACATAAAAAGAAACAAAGCCAAAAGTAAAATAAACTTTGGCAGCAAAATATTTCTTCGGCATTTGTGTTGCAGCATTTCTTGTTTATAAAACAAAAAAGGGAACAAGACCGAAAAAATATCAAATGCAGGCGAGGAGATTTTGTCCGCAGTGTTATGAAGTGGTTAGAATCTTGGCTTGCACTTGTCCAAACAAAATATATATGTTGTGCATTTATGAATATAATATGTGGAGCATCCTTGGCTGGCTGCCGAAATGACAAAATGATGCATTAAACTAATTGGAAAAACTTTGGGTGTTTTCTGTGAGTGCTCAGCGGAGCTGAAGAAAAGCCACAAGAAGTGATCAAAGGAGCGTGCGATGTGGAAGAAATTAGGAACTAGATGTGATTGAATTTTGAGGCTAAGTAAGCGGAAATAAAATAACATAAAATCTATGGCTTATAAGTGAAATAAATTACAATAAAATAATGAAAAATACCAACTGTGCTATCGTAAATTCAATCTTAACGGAAAATTTGCAATAACAATGTAAAAAAAAACACAATTGACAGCAACGGAAACAATTTCAAATGGTAAAATAATGAGATAAGTGAAAAAATTAATGCAAATTCAACGAAACGAGCAATAAATTTAAAATCACCAATCTTCTACTAGTCCCACAAAATTGCTGAAAATAATTTATTTCTTTATTTTCTGAAATTACAACCTCGAATCATATATATTTAACCAGACAAACCACTTGTTTTTCCCACAATTTTCTACATAATTGTCCATGTTTATTTGTCACTAACCTCGGTCAAAGTTGTTGCTTGTTTACACAAGAGTGTCAAAATCGGCCAGACGAGTAAACAAGTAAGCGAGAACAAATATTTTAACAGAAAATTAAAGCAATCAACAAGCAAAGCTTGAGATAGTCCCAAGAAGTTCGTGAGAAAATGAAACTTGATTACTTAAATGAAAAAAAGGTCAAGAGACCCAAGAAAGCAATGTAAATAATGCAGGTTGAGTGAAAATTAAGAGCGCAGATAAGGCAGTTGATAATACGGCGTGGATTGGGCCGGGGAGGTATGAAAAGGAAACCGCATTGTTCACATAATTGAAAAACAGATTTCTCTACACACTGCTGAGAATTTGAGAATGCTTTCAGCATATTTATGTCCGACTGCGTATTCAACCAGCTGTCCAAGAATCTAGGCCGTTTAAATTGCTCCACGTTCTCTATACATATACGAATATATGCCTCGACTATATTTAGACTTTTTCGATATATGCAAGCCACTTGACGTATGAGTAATTTTCCAAAAATTGATTAATTAAATCTAACGGTTTTACTTGATTTTAGGGTGGCTTTTAAAAAAAGGACTCTTTAGTTTGCTAGATTTTAGCTGCAAGCCAATTAAACAAGCTTTTATTATCTTTTTTTTATTATCTAAGCCTGTTTCCCGTGGAAGAAAAAAACCCAAAGCAAAAAAAAATAGTACAAACAAATAAAACTAGAAATTCCCCGATGAACCAGAAACTCGTGAAGCAACGACAAAAAGCGAAATGCAAACAAATGTTCATACGTATTTAATGCGTATATATATGCTCACATAAGCTCTCTTCGAGGCTTATAAAATAAAAGCCGAAAACACAGATTTGTCGTTATATGCAACGCCAAATCTTCACTGTTGGCTTCCGTTTTATTTTTTTATTTTATGCTGCAAAAGTCGAAATGGATAAAGATAAAACAATCATTTAAAAGCTTCCAATTCGTATACAGGCGAATACATACATGATTAAATGATGTCATTAAGTGAGCGCGAGTAATTATTTAATATACTTATATTAATGCAATTAAACAATTTTTAAAGCGAGAGTAATTAGGCTGGAGTTAAATAATTATTATTTTTGAAAGCTAAATTTGTACTGTTTTATGACATTGTCGGAGACGGAAACCTAATTAAATCATTGTGTCGTGCTGGCGGAAAGAAATAAATTTATAGGCTCCTAAAAATAAGAAAGAGAGTTATCAAAATGTTTTTACTTTTACTAGTAACTATCTTTTCTAGTGGCTTAACGAAAGTTCAGGGTCCTTTGGGAAGTTAAATTTCATTCAAATAAACTGCTTCAGAAAAGTTCCTCATTGAAAGCAACCACGACAAAAAAAATAAAACAGGATGCAATGGAATTTCATATGCAAATTAATAAGTGTCCGACCATTACCAATTTCGATGACCTGCCATTACATATAACACATTAAAAAATAATGAGTTAAAAGTGTAAAAATAAATGGAAATTAATTGATAAAATTTAATGAGATGACCAGAAAAGCCAACAACTCTCGACAAAAAAAATCGCAGAACGAGTCGGACAAGCGGTCGGAATAATAGGGAAAATGCGAAAAAAAAATGTATGAAAATAATTAAGCCGCCAGCAGCTAAAACAACAGCAACCGAGGGCTTGACAAAAACTTAACAACTTTATGCTGCCGGTCCAGCCGGTCTGTAAGCTTAATTAACACTAGGATTGCGGTTGGAAAGGAGATTTCCGTGGGCGAAATGGCGAGCTGCCGGCGCTAAATGTCAACAATAAGCTCGAGTGCGGCTGTTGCACTTTCCCCCCGCGCTTTTCCGGCATTTCCGGCCCTTCCATTTCCATTTTCACTTCCACTGCCCACCCAACCTTCGTTTTATGAATTTTGAGCAGCTTTCGCCTGCAGATTCTGCGGCAACAAATCTCCAGTGATAGTCACGGAAATCGCTTAAATTGTGCAGCCAAAATAAACGGATGGCGCGTTGAATTTATGCAAAAATGTAAAAACGTAAAAAGTTTTTGCAAAAGGTCCGTTCGCACTCCTCTGTCCTTTGAAACTTGTTGTTTTTCGACTCCGGCCACGAGCTTCATTGCGCATTCAAGTGGCCCCGTTTGGCAAATGAAAATGAAAATAAAACCGAAAACTTGGACACACCGTCCATGCCCAATTGAGTTTGTTTCGGTTTCGTTTCGAGCTGGGGATATTGCCTCCGTTTCTATTTTTTTTGCATTTTCTGCCCGCTCCCTGGATGATTTGACAAAAGTACTGCATTGGTTTTTTGAGGCTCGAATGTCTGGGTGGCATAGTTTTCATTAGCTCCGCACAAATTTCATAGCCTAATTTGAGGCTTCGATATTGCGTATGCATCGCGTGTTGCGGGCGTGAAATAAAAACACGCCAAGCGCGTCCCATTAAATAAGCAAATAAACAAGTCGCAGACTTAGTGCCACATTGACAATAAGGCCCAGACCCAAAAGGTCCTTTGGCCACGACTTTTTCATGTTGTCTCTTTTCACGAAACCACATGAAAGGAA